AGTCAATCCACCTGCATATGTGATTAATAGACTTCACAAGATTTTTGCTCAATTTTTCTGGAGTAGTTCAGGGACAGGTAACAACAGGCATTGGGCATCATGGAGTACCTTATGTATGCCACAGGAAGAAGGGGGTATTGATTTTAGGTCCCTTCATGATGTAGCAAAAGCTCTGTTCTGCAAACTGTGGTGGAAATATAGAACAAAACCTAGTCTGTGGAGCTCATTTATGAGTCAGAAGTATTGCAAAAATATGAATTCAGTGGTAGTGCAATGGAGAAAAGGATCACATGTTTGGAGAAAGATGTTGGAGTGCAGAGACCTTGTTGAACACCTGATCATTTGGCAACCAAGGATGGGTTCTTCTTTGTTCTGGTATGACAACTGGACAGGCTTAGGGGCTTTGTATTTTTTGATTGCTCAAAATTTTGGAGTTGATGAATCAGTCCATAATGTGTGGGATGTGGTGTATGGAGGAGAATGGAATACACAAAGGCTTTATGAAATATTACCTGAAGAATTTGCAGAACACATCATAGTAAACCTTCAGCCACCTGCAACTCAAGGAGTCTTGGATGTACCTGTTTGGAGTTTGGAATCAAAGGGTCAGTTCAGTGTTAGAACAACATGGTAGTATGTGAGGAACATAGCTGAACCAATGTCAGCTTATAAGAAAATTTGGGTGAAAGGTCTGCCATTTAAGTTAGCCTTTTTCATGTGGAAAGTATGGAGGAACAAGCTGCCATTGGATGAGTTTTTCAGAAGACTTGGCTATCAGATGGCATCTAAGTGCTGGTGTTGTGCAGATCCTTTGGAGGAAACAACACAACACTTATTTTTTACATCATATGCTGCAAACAAAGTATGGAGGTATTACCTTGGGCATGCTGGTATTGTAACAGAAGGACTCACACTACACCAGGCAATTATCAAATGCTGGACTGCAGATGTAGTACCTCGACTGAAGCCAATTTTGCAAGCCTTGCCATCAGTCATAGTATGGGAATTATGGAAGAGGAGAAACAGTTATAAATATGGAGATGCAGTCACTATTAACAGGGTGGTGTACCAGATCTCTTCTACTCTGCAGTCATTGATTAAAGTAAGGAAGCCAGGAATTAGTCAGGTTTCTCATAGGTGGCCAGATATGTTGAAGATGATGGAGCAGTTCACACCAAATCTCAGGTATACAAAGGTGAATTGGGATTTTCCAGAACAAGGTTGGGTGAAAGTCAACACAGATGGAGCTTCAAGAGGTAATCCGGGAAGGAGTTCAATTGGTTTTGTCCTTAGAAATGAGGAGGGTGATGTCCTGTATGCATGTGGCAAGGAGATCCAAGAGGG